TTCAGGCAGAGCAGAAATCTAATAATCCTATTATATACAGCTCCTTTAATTTATGAGCTGTTGGGCACCAATGTTGTGTGTATCACACGCAATGCCATGCAGTGAACTAAGAATCAAATTTTAGTGATGCTATGTTGCATGTCAAAATTAAGAGAAAAAAACACCAAATATTTTTAAAAAATATTATGAATTTGCCTTATTTAACTAGTTTATACCAGCAGCCCTGGTTTGTGCAAGTCCAGTATGCTGGAATAACCAACCTTTAGTTTCTGGAAGAGTCTTCAGTTCAAACGATGTGTTTGGGTTGCTCAAGCCAATGTTGTTCTGAGCATTAATCTGAACCTGGTACACAGTGTTTGGCTCAAGGCCCTTGAGATGATACTGAGTAATGCTGGTGTTCTTTATGATAATATCAATGTGGTTGTACTCAGCTTTGCCATAAATTTTGTAGCTGATGATGATGGAGGAGATGGAATGACCCTCAGCAGTTGTCCAAGAGATGACTGAGGATGTGTCTGTGGTGTTAGAAAACTTGATGTTGTATGGTGCAGGAGGGATTCCTAAGAACAAACACAAACACACACAAAGTGTTGGAGTGTACATCCACCTCTTTCTCCTTCCCGCAGTGAGCCAAACACTTTCCTTGGTGCTTTTACTGTGCTAAACAGAAGAAGAATTTTGTTGATGACCTACAGTAACTGAATGCAATAGTTTTATGAACTTGATGTGTAGTCACCCATATTGGACTACTCCATAGTTCCAGCAGAGGTTGGAGTGGCTTTCAGTATACTCCTGTCCTTGGATGAAGATATGAATTCTCTGAGCTGCATGCAAGGACAACTACATGATTGCTTTCAAATTAATGCAGAAAGGGTTAATTTCCTCCTACACTGAATCATCATGCTCATGTTATTCCCAGGTCCTATATATTCACGGCTTCAGGGAACAATGTCTGTCAGGATACAGACTGTAGAAAGAAGGGAAATCAATACCAACATTCCCACAAATTTAATCAGAAAACCACCAGCAGGGGGCAGTGCTAGACTTATCGACACGCATGGCTACTACGCTAAGTACTTTCTGGAAAATGGTACCCTTACGTTTTTCTTAGTGCAGTTTGGCATCAGAACTCCATATTGGAACCAATACTATTTAATTTCTTCATCAATGACATGGACAGTTGAATCAAGTGCACCCGCAGCAAGTCTGCAGACGACACCAAGCTGAGTGGTGTGGTTGACATACCTGGGGGATGGGATGCCATCCAGAGGGACCTGTACAAGCTCGAGGGATGGGCCTGTGTGAACCCCATGAGGTTCAACAAGGCCAAGTACAGGGTCCTACACCTGGGTCAGGACAACCCCCAGTATCAAGACAGGCTGGGGGATGAAGGGGTGGAGAGCAGCCCCACCCAGAAGGACCTGGGGGTACTGGTGGGTGAAAAGCTGGACGTGAGCCAGTAATGTGTGCTCACAGCTCTGAAGACCAACTGTATCCTGGGCTGCGTCCAAAGCAGTGTGGTCAGCAGGGAGAGAGAGGGGATTCTGCACCTGTACTCTGCTCTGCTGAGACCCCACCTGGACTCCTGCATCCAGCTCTGGAACCCTCAGCACAGGAAAGGCATGGACCCGTTGGAGCGGGTCCAGAGGAGGCCACAGAAATGAGCCGAGGGATAGGTACATCTCTCTGCTGCAGACAGGCTCAGAGAGTTGGGGTTGTTCAGCCTGGAGAAGAGAAGGCTCTGGGGAGACCTTATGCAACTTTCCAGTACTTAAAGGGGGCTTTTATAAGAAAGATGGGGACAGACCTTTTAGTAGGGCGTGTTGTGATAGGACAAGGAATACTGGTTTTAAACTAAAAGAGGTCAGATTTATACTAGATATAAGGAAGAAATTTTTCCCAATGAGGGTGTTTAAACACTGGCATGGTTTGCCCAGAGAAGTGGTAGATGCCCCATTCCTGGAAACATTCCAGGTCAGGTTGGATGGGGTTCTGAGCAACTTGATCTAGTTGAAGATGTCCTGGCTTATTGCAGCAGGGTTGGACTAGATGACCTTCAAAAGGTGCCTTCAACCCAAACTATTCTACGATTCTAAGAAACTGGAGTGTCCCATGGTAGCCATTGATGCTTCTGTTAATACATGTAGGATCTCAGTGAGGGCATCCTCACATGACCGGTAAAAAGGAAGAAGCACACCTTTCCAGTGTGTGATGTGGGCAGTAGCACCCATCAACCATTCAGATGGACATCTATTCAGATGATACATCATTCAGATAGGGTATTTGTTGTGACATTATGAAAGGACACTACTCACACTCAGGGAATTCAAGGGTGGTCATTGGTCTTCAGTGTCGCACACTTAACTACTATTTGCTTAACAGGGGTTTGATCTTGCATTGTATCTTCTCTTCCTTCTTTAACTGCTGACCATTTCTGTATTGACATAGCTGAATTGCAGTGCCTGAGGTTTTTCTGAGTAACAAAAGCGCTTGGAGGAGGGAACTCATTATGTGGGTTCATCATTATGAGGGGAAAAAAATGATAGATGTGTCAGAAGTGTCAATTGCACTGAAATGAAGGTATGACTTCCCAAGCTTTTAACTTGTTTTTCCCAATTAGTTCCTGATAAGTGTAAGAATTCCTTTAGACACTGAACTATCTTCATAATAATAGTAAACCCAAGCACAAGCGATCATCAGGAACTGAGTGTTACCAGAACGAAGGATTACAATTAATGTAGTCATTAAGTGACAATCACTCACTGGGGGAAAGAGGAAGAATTAAACAGAAGGATGTGAATCAGCTACTTACTGTCACTGAAAGTCCATGCATACAGATAGTTGCTCCATTCTCCTTGGGACCTGGTATTCACCCGTACCCTGCACATGTATTGCTGTCTAGGCTCAAGATCTTTAATGATCAGGGTGGACATATTTCCTGGCACTTGAGTAATAACACTGCTCTCGTCACCGTTGTCATTCACACTCTTCCTTTCCACTTCAACACGAATGTCATCCTCTGTCCTCAGCGTTAAAGGATGCCATGACAAATTCAGTGATGTCATACTTTTTGGAAAGAGAGTGAGACCTTCTGGTGGAGGAAGACCTTGGAAAAGCCACAGAGACAGGGAACATTTCACTTTTGGTATGCAAGCTAGAATAGGGGTACCAGTTATCCCCAATCACTTGCCCTAGCTTGGAGTGACAAAGGGTAATTCTCCCAGCCACCCCACCCAATTTGGCAGAAATTACATCTAAGAGGTATTGACAGTCCCAAATTATCTTATCAACAGCTGTCATGTCAAGAAAAAGGTCTCTTCGCTGAGCTGGTGTTGCAGATGCACTTCTTAGACGTGAGAATCCTGCTCTTTTGCTCTCTTGTGAGATAGAAAGTTCCTGGTGCAATCCTCCTTTATTTTGTACGACTCTGTTCAGTTTCAGCTGTATCCTCAGTGGACTGAAAACTTTTCTGCTTGTTCATACATCTTCATTTTTAAAGTAAACTGATCTAATACTAAGAGGAAGGACTGATCTGGTATTAGGAGGAAGGACTGGCACGCAAAAGAACTGATTTCTGTCTCCAACTCTGCTGCACAGCCAGCCAAAACATGTAAATTTTCCTTTCCCAGATCCCCCATCCATAAATAGGGAGAATAATAGCTCTGCCTTTTCCTGGCTTTCTTCACCTCTGATTTTTTCTCTTTTTTTTTTTTTTTTTTTTGTCTGAGATTATTTTGAAAGACTGTACATAGTTTTCATGTCCAGCTGCCTTTGCTCAAATGAAGGTGCTCTGGCAGAGATCAGGGAACAGACCACAGAGAAAAACAGCTGAAACAGCCCTTTTGTGAAAAGCCGGGATGATTACTTACCAAGTGCAGCTGTCGTGAAGCTCGCCTGTGGTCCAGGATGGCCTTCTCCACCTTCCCCTTGCCGACTCAGCTGAACACAGAACTGGTATTCTGTTTTTGGTTCCAGATTGTCCAGTCTTTTGGTTCTGCCTTTTACTGACAACAAAAGGACAAAATAAAGCCATAGCTCATGCTGAAAAATGTTAAGGAAGCAAAGGTTTGGAAAATACTCCTGAACGACTAGCCATGGAAAGTAACATACTCAATCTCTTCTTTTGTTCCCCTTTCACTAAGATAAACTATTAGAAGCATAAAATACTTATTTTTAAGCTAAGCTCCAACCCGGCATAAAGGATGTTTCCATCCATCCCTCCTTCAGGACAGAACAAGACTGCTTAAGGCCATGTGCATTGTGCATGCAGAACTCGGGTTATCTTGAATTACTAACA